AAGAAAAATGACCCAATCAATATCATTATGATTATAGACGTTTTTTTTTTCTCGAATTCCGCTACTACGTGCCGCCCCCGACCCGAGCCACGATAACCGCTACAATAGGCGAATTAATTCACGCATTTATTTTGTTCCCAGACAATCGACATCTTTCAAGTACACGGTGCATCGGCGTCCTAAAATGTGACTGGCAAGGCCGCTCTATCTGGTGAAACTCAGTAAAGACGGTGCATCATCATCTAACTGAGGTACCTGTAAAGCTGACATCTTTATCACTATTCATTCGGTATCTAAGATGGACAGTGGGGAAGCGTGTGGGAAGTTGTGGGTGACGACAGCTTTGCCTTACGTAAAGCATCATATGTTTTTAAAACTTTTCTCTTTGTATTAGTTTTGCTATAGCGTGAGGCGTGCAATCGTATATCGAAATGAAAAAAGTAACTGGAAAAATAGCAGTATCTATCGACATTCCTTACATCTGTGCTTTGGTAAGGTCCTGACAAATGCTTTATTTATTCATGTTAGCCGTTTTCACGACGGCCATCTGGTACACATTTGATGCACAGGTGGTACAGATAAAGTGCAGAATTAGTCAATTCAGGTTCAGTGTGTCCTCTTTGCAGCTATCAGCTAGCACTACTAGCTTATATGCACTAATTTCTTATATGCCTGCTTTGTCATATTTTCAGAGAGCATCATCGATTAAAACACTAATAAATTCATAAAATGAAGCTATTTGCTGTAAACGAAAGTACGTGCAGATTTGATCACATCAGGTGCATTCGCCGGATAGACCGTCGTGAAAATGGCCATTAACTACTATTAAGATACATTTTTGTCGATACGTGCCTTATTCGTTACGTACATGATTAATCAGTACTTTTGCTGACGTACATGTGCAATACGTACTTTTGCGATGCATGCTTTTGTCTGCATGCAGCTAGGGGGGGGGGGGGGTAGAGCTGGGGGGGGGGGTAGAGCGCTGCCATACGTCGTGGTGTTCGACTGTGCTGCCATCTGATGTCGCACGACTGATAACTGTCGGCGCGGCGCCGCCGTCTCCATTTGCGTGTGTACAAACGCACGGTCGAGAGCCACTAATTCGAAATTATTTCGAGTTTGGCGATCTTTTGTGCTTACAGATACTTACCATGGTGAGGATAAACTGAAACTGCGTATACTTTGAATGTAACATAATGGACCACTCTTATCACTCGCCGTGGCCACTAGCGCTCACGTTATAGCTCTGCATCGTTACTAGTACTAATAGTTATCCCTTAACTGCATAAGTATCTTAAAGTGTTGTGCTTAAGTATCGCTTCTCGGCCTTTTGGCTAAGATCAAAGTGTAGTATCTGTGGGGCATTCCCCCGGTATTTGCACATGATCGCGGCTCACTGGTCGGGATAGACATGCTTTTGGTTGGCTACCTTTCTTTTACAAAGCACGCCGCTAAAACATGCTCTATACGCTAAAATATCTGTTCTTATCAGCTTAATATCTGATACGTCCCCTACATGGGGACCAGAATATTAAACTGATTTTTGGACTTTGGCGGGGTTTTTGGAGCTTGCTCCAGCCCTGCCGCGGGTTGGCCTGGCATTGCACTACAGCCAGGATCGGCCCACTTTTGTTATCATGCGTTGTGATATGTAGTGGAATAAAAGGATAAAGATACTTTTAAGATATCTGACAATAAAAATTGACAAAACATGAAAATACACCTCTTTTTGATCACGATCATAGACAAACGCTCATACTAAATGGAAGAAAAATACGGGTATCGGCAAATTGTACCTGTGACACCTCAATGTCCCTGAGGTCATCTCAGGTCATGAAGAAAAATGACCCAATCAATATCATTATGATTATAGACGTTTTTTTTTCTCGAATTCCGCTACTACGTGCCGCCCCCGACCCGAGCCACGATAACCGCTACAATAGGCGAATTAATTCACGCATTTATTTTGTTCCCAGACAATCGACATCTTTCAAGTACACGGTGCATCGGCGTCCTAAAATGTGACTGGCAAGGCCGCTCTATCTGGTGAAACTCAGTAAAGACGGTGCATCATCATCTAACTGAGGTACCTGTAAAGCTGACATCTTTATCACTATTCATTCGGTATCTAAGATGGACAGTGGGGAAGCGTGTGGGAAGTTGTGGGTGACGACAGCTTTGCCTTACGTAAAGCATCATATGTTTTTAAAACTTTTCTCTTTGTATTAGTTTTGCTATAGCGTGAGGCGTGCAATCGTATATCGAAATGAAAAAAGTAACTGGAAAAATAGCAGTATCTATCGACATTCCTTACATCTGTGCTTTGGTAAGGTCCTGACAAATGCTTTATTTATTCATGTTAGCCGTTTTCACGACGGCCATCTGGTACACATTTGATGCACAGGTGGTACAGATAAAGTGCAGAATTAGTCAATTCAGGTTCAGTGTGTCCTCTTTGCAGCTATCAGCTAGCACTACTAGCTTATATGCACTAATTTCTTATATGCCTGCTTTGTCATATTTTCAGAGAGCATCATCGATTAAAACACTAATAAATTCATAAAATGGAGCTATTTGCTGTAAACGAAAGTACGTGCAGATTTGATCACATCAGGTGCATTCGCCCGTCGCCGGATAGACCGTCGTGAAAATGGCCATTAACTACTATTAAGATACATTTTTGTCGATACGTGCCTTATTCGTTACGTACATGATTAATCAGTACTTTTGCTGACGTACATGTGCAATACGTACTTTTGCGATGCATGCTTTTGTCTGCATGCAGCTAGGGGGGGGGGGGGGTAGAGCTAGGGGGGGGGGGGTAGAGCGCTGCCATACGTCGTGGTGTTCGACTGTGCTGCCATCTGATGTCGCACGACTGATAACTGTCGGCGCGGCGCCGCCGTCTCCATTTGCGTGTGTACAAACGCACGGTCGAGAGCCACTAATTCGAAATTATTTCGAGTTTGGCGATCTTTTGTGCTTACAGATACTTACCATGGTGAGGATAAACTGAAACTGCGTATACTTTGAATGTAACATAATGGACCACTCTTATCACTCGCCGTGGCCACTAGCGCTCACGTTATAGCTCTGCATCGTTACTAGTACTAATAGTTATCCCTTAACTGCATAAGTATCTTAAAGTGTTGTGCTTAAGTATCGCTTCTCGGCCTTTTGGCTAAGATCAAAGTGTAGTATCTGTGGGGCATTCCCCCGGTATTTGCACATGATCGCGGCTCATTGGTCGGGATAGACATGCTTTTGGTTGGCTACCTTTCTTTTACAAAGCACTCCGCTAAAACATGCTCTATACGCTAAAAAATCTGTTCTTATCAGCTTAATATCTGATACGTCCCCTACATGGGGACCAGAATATTAAACTGATTTTTGGACTTTGGCGGGGTTTTTGGAGCTTGCTCCAGCCCTGCCGCGGGTTGGCCTGGCATTGCACTACAGCCAGGATCGGCCCACTTTTGTTATCATGCGTTGTGATATGTAGTGGAATAAAAGGATAAAGATACTTTTAAGATATCTGACAATAAAAATTGACAAAACATGAAAATACACCTCTTTTTGATCACGATCATAGACAAACGCTCATACTAAATGGAAGAAAAATACGGGTATCGGCAAATTGTACCTGTGACCCCTCAATGTCCCTGAGGTCATCTCAGGTCATGAAGAAAAATGACCCAATCAATATCATTATGATTATAGACGTTTTTTTTTCTCGAATTCCGCTACTACGTGCCGCCCCCGACCCGAGCCACGATAACCGCTACAATAGGCGAATTAATTCACGCATTTATTTTGTTCCCAGACAATCGACATCTTTCAAGTACACGGTGCATCGGCGTCCTAAAATGTGACTGGCAAGGCCGCTCTATCTGGTGAAACTCAGTAAAGACGGTGCATCATCATCTAACTGAGGTACCTGTAAAGCTGACATCTTTATCACTATTCATTCGGTATCTAAGATGGACAGTGGGGAAGCGTGTGGGAAGTTGTGGGTGACGACAGCTTTGCCTTACGTAAAGCATCATATGCTTTTAAAACTTTTCTCTTTGTATTAGTTTTGCTATAGCGTGAGGCGTGCAATCGTATATCGAAATGAAAAAAGTAACTGGAAAAATAGCAGTATCTATCGACATTCCTTACATCTGTGCTTTGGTAAGGTCCTGACAAATGCTTTATTTATTCATGTTAGCCGTTTTCACGACGGCCATCTGGTACACATTTGATGCACAGGTGGTACAGATAAAGTGCAGAATTAGTCAATTCAGGTTCAGTGTGTCCTCTTTGCAGCTATCAGCTAGCACTACTAGCTTATATGCACTAATTTCTTATATGCCTGCTTTGTCATATTTTCAGAGAGCATCATCGATTAAAACACTAATAAATTCATAAAATGAAGCTATTTGCTGTAAACGAAAGTACGTGCAGATTTGATCACATCAGGTGCATTCGCCGGATAGACCGTCGTGAAAATGGCCATTAACTACTATTAAGATACATTTTTGTCGATACGTGCCTTATTCGTTACGTACATGATTAATCAGTACTTTTGCTGACGTACATGTGCAATACGTACTTTTGCGATGCATGCTTTTGTCTGCATGCAGCTAGGGGGGGGGGTAGAGCTGGGGGGGGGGGGGTAGAGCGCTGCCATACGTCGTGGTGTTCGACTGTGCTGCCATCTGATGTCGCACGACTGATAACTGTCGGCGCGGCGCCGCCGTCTCCATTTGCGTGTGTACAAACGCACGGTCGAGAGCCACTAATTCGAAATTATTTCGAGTTTGGCGATCTTTTGTGCTTACAGATACTTACCATGGTGAGGATAAACTGAAACTGCGTATACTTTGAATGTAACATAATGGACCACTCTTATCACTCGCCGTGGCCACTAGCGCTCACGTTATAGCTCTGCATCGTTACTAGTACTAATAGTTATCCCTTAACTGCATAAGTATCTTAAAGTGTTGTGCTTAAGTATCGCTTCTCGGCCTTTTGGCTAAGATCAAAGTGTAGTATCTGTTCTTATCAGCTTAATATCTGATACGTCCCCTACATGGGGACCAGAATATTAAACTGATTTTTGGACTTTGGCGGGGTTTTTGGAGCTTGCTCCAGCCCTGCCGCGGGTTGGCCTGGCATTGCACTACAGCCAGGATCGGCCCACTTTTGTTATCATGCGTTGTGATATGTAGTGGAATAAAAGGATAAAGATACTTTTAAGATATCTGACAATAAAAATTGACAAAACATGAAAATACACCTCTTTTTGATCACGATCATAGACAAACGCTCATACTAAATGGAAGAAAAATACGGGTATCGGCAAATTGTACCTGTGACCCCTCAATGTCCCTGAGGTCATCTCAGGTCATGAAGAAAAATGACCCAATCAATATCATTATGATTATAGACGTTTTTTTTTTCTCGAATTCCGCTACTACGTGCCGCCCCCGACCCGAGCCACGATAACCGCTACAATAGGCGAATTAATTCACGCATTTATTTTGTTCCCAGACAATCGACATCTTTCAAGTACACGGTGCATCGGCGTCCTAAAATGTGACTGGCAAGGCCGCTCTATCTGGTGAAACTCAGTAAAGACGGTGCATCATCATCTAACTGAGGTACCTGTAAAGCTGACATCTTTATCACTATTCATTCGGTATCTAAGATGGACAGTGGGGAAGCGTGTGGGAAGTTGTGGGTGACGACAGCTTTGCCTTACGTAAAGCATCATATGTTTTTAAAACTTTTCTCTTTGTATTAGTTTTGCTATAGCGTGAGGCGTGCAATCGTATATCGAAATGAAAAAAGTAACTGGAAAAATAGCAGTATCTATCGACATTCCTTACATCTGTGCTTTGGTAAGGTCCTGACAAATGCTTTATTTATTCATGTTAGCCGTTTTCACGACGGCCATCTGGTACACATTTGATGCACAGGTGGTACAGATAAAGTGCAGAATTAGTCAATTCAGGTTCAGTGTGTCCTCTTTGCAGCTATCAGCTAGCACTACTAGCTTATATGCACTAATTTCTTATATGCCTGCTTTGTCATATTTTCAGAGAGCATCATCGATTAAAACACTAATAAATTCATAAAATGAAGCTATTTGCTGTAAACGAAAGTACGTGCAGATTTGATCACATCAGGTGCATTCGCCGGATAGACCGTCGTGAAAATGGCCATTAACTACTATTAAGATACATTTTTGTCGATACGTGCCTTATTCGTTACGTACATGATTAATCAGTACTTTTGCTGACGTACATGTGCAATACGTACTTTTGCGATGCATGCTTTTGTCTGCATGCAGCTAGGGGGGGGGGGGGGGTAGAGCTGGGGGGGGGGGGGGGTAGAGCGCTGCCATACGTCGTGGTGTTCGACTGTGCTGCCATCTGATGTCGCACGACTGATAACTGTCGGCGCGGCGCCGCCGTCTCCATTTGCGTGTGTACAAACGCACGGTCGAGAGCCACTAATTCGAAATTATTTCGAGTTTGGCGATCTTTTGTGCTTACAGATACTTACCATGGTGAGGATAAACTGAAACTGCGTATACTTTGAATGTAACATAATGGACCACTCTTATCACTCGCCGTGGCCACTAGCGCTCACGTTATAGCTCTGCATCGTTACTAGTACTAATAGTTATCCCTTAACTGCATAAGTATCTTAAAGTGTTGTGCTTAAGTATCGCTTCTCGGCCTTTTGGCTAAGATCAAAGTGTAGTATCTGATCGCTTCTCGGCCTTTTGGCTAAGATCAAAGTGTAGTATCTGTGGGGCATTCCCCCGGTATTTGCACATGATCGCGGCTCACTGGTCGGGATAGACATGCTTTTGGTTGGCTACCTTTCTTTTACAAAGCACGCCGCTAAAACATGATCTATTACGCTAAAAATCTGTTCTTATCAGCTTAATTGGCGAGAGCGTGCCCCATCCTTGACCTAGTACCTGCCCCGGCGACTCTGGCCCGCTCACGGAACTTCCCCTCCACATTGTGCGGCGACAGAAGAGGCGGATGTCGGGGTAAGGGCTAGGTCTCGCTTATTCCTTCTTTGCCAAATCCTCTCCTTGCCCTGCTGGGCGCCACCTCTCCTGCTCGGAGATGGTGTCACCTCCGGCCTCGTCTGGCCGGGTGCCCGCAGCAGGCGCCTCTTCTCCCTCGCCGGGCCCGGCAGCTCTGCAGCAGCCGTGGCTCGAGGGCCAGCTGCTCGTGCTGCCCAGCCCGCTGCCGCTGCACGTGCACTGCCCGGTGGCGGGGTGCCCTCGGTCATACGCCAACCAGGTGCAGACCGCCGTCCGGCACAGCCTCCTACGGCACCTGCGGACCGACTTCCACCCTGGAACGTCGGTGACCGGGTCGGAGTGGCGTTGTGCGGCCTGTGGAGCCAGACTTGCCCGTAAGGTCTCGGCCCACAGATGCCCCCTCGGCCCTCTGAACCGCCCGGTCCCGGACGCGGCGACAGCGTTTCGCCAGGAGTGCCTCTGGTGCCGGAAGTGGTACACGACCCGCCGAGGCCTCCTCAACCACCGCGCCCGCTGCCCGCGCCGGCCGCCGCCCGCCCCGCCGCAGCCCACCGACTGGGCCGCTGCGCTGGCGCGGCTCCGTGCCGAGACGGCCCCCGCCGCCGGCGCCCCTGCAAGACCGGCGACACCGACAAGCCCGGAGCTGGACCTGTCTCTGAGCCCTCCGCCGCCGCCACCTGGCCAGGGCCGTCCATCGCCGCCGCCGGAGCCGACGCCGCCGCCGCCGCCGGAGCCGACACCGACGCCATCACCGGGGCCGACACCGACGCCGGCGCCCGAGGAGGATCGGCTCTCGCCGCCGCCGTCGCCTGGGCCGCTGCCCGAGCGGTGGTGGTCGCCGACCCAGCCGTCACCGGAAGAGCCGACGTCGCCGCCGCTGGTGTTCCCGGCGCCCTCATCAGGCTCGTCGGACACTTCATCGCCGCCGTCGCTACTGGTGAGGCTTGCCTCCGAGCGACGGCCCGCCGCCGACGGTGGTGAGCCGCCGCCGACTGGGACTCTGCAGCGTAGTGCCGAGCGCGCTGGACAGTGCTGCGAAAAAGTGACAGTGTTGAACGCGAGTGACTCGTCTGTGCCAGTACCGCCCGTGACAGTGCCGCCCGCGTTAGTGCCGCCCGCGTCAGTGCCGCCCGTGACAGTGTCGCCCGCGTCGGTGCCGCCCGCGCCGGAACCGAGTCCGGCCGCGCCCGTGCCGCCAGTGATGCCGCCCTCGGCTGAGTCGACGACTCCGGCCTGGCCCTCGCGGCTGCGGCCCCTATCGTCCGCCTCTCCGGACCCGCGCCATCGCCCCGGCGGTAACTCCGTCGGCGGCGCGTCGATTACGACACCGCGCCGGGGCCGCCGCTCGCCCAACCTGACGTCATCGTGGTTCTGGCTGCGGGGCCCCGGCGTCGGCGCGAGGAGGGAGCCGTCGGCCGACAGCTCGGACTCATCGCCCGACTCGCCGTCCCCAGCGCCCACGCTGTACCTGCCGCCTAGCTCCAGCTCGTCGGACTCGACATCAACTGTTGGCGGCGGGCCGGCCGCGTCTCCGGGCCGGGCGGCGCGCCGCCGCCGGTACCGAGCCAGGCGCCGAGCGGAGCGCCGCCGCTCGGGCCACGTGGTGCCTGAGGCCGCTCCGCCACTCGCGGACGCCGGCCCCGCGCGGGCGGCTCCGCCCGCGCTGCTCCCTGGGACAGCGCCGCCGCCGCGGCGCCCGCCAGTGACGCGCCAGCCGCCGCCGCCGCCACCGGAACGGGACTCGCCGCCCTCTCGCCGGCCGCCGGAGAGAGCGCCGCCAGACGCGCGGCGGTCGCCGCCGGAACGGGACCTGCCGGCGCGGCGCCCGCCGCCTCCATCAACTGGACAGACTGAAGCCGCGCCCGCCTCGCGACGGCGCGGCGGACGGCGCGGGCGGGGAGGACGAGGTGGCGGCCAGCGATGTGCCGTAGTGCGGAACAACGCGAGTGCCACGGTAAGCGACCGCCGCGACCCGCCCCAAGAGGTGACGCCCCCGCCCCAGCCCAAACCGCGACCCGATGCTCCCCCGCCCACCCCGCCGGCCGGCGCTCCCCCGGCCGAGGCGGCGGCCCCGGCCTCGCGCTCCCGTGCTGGCCGTGGCCGTGGTCGCGGCCGGGGAGGCGCCGCGTCTGCCCGAGCCCAACCCCAGGCCCAGGAGCCCGAGCTTACCGAGCTCCAGAGGCTCTTCCTCCCTCGATTGGAGCACCTACTAGCTGCCGACGCCGAGTGGGCGGCTTGCGAGGAGGTGCTGACCGCGATGGTGGCCGAGGCGAGCCGGCGGAACGAAGCCTACCACGCTAAGCGCGCGGAGGAGACGGACCGCCGCCGCCGCCAGCCGCCGCCTGACCGGCAGCGCCTCCGCCGCGACCCGCCCCGACGGCCCGACCCGGCCGGCCGCCCGGCCGCTGCGCCGGCCCCACCCCCCGGACCCAACCCCGTCCCGGCTCCCCCGGCGGAGGGCGCCGCGCCGCCGCCGCCGCCGCCGGCTGACCGACGCCGCCAGTACCGCCCACCGCAGTACGACCCGGCCGAGGCAAGCCGGCTGCAGCGCCTCTACCGCACCAACCGAGCCCGTGCTATGAGGGAGGTGCTGGCTGAGGACGGCCCGCGGTGCTCGCTGGACCCCGCCGCTATTCGCTCTCATTTCTCTCCGTCTCCCACCGCCGACCCTCCCGTGGACTGGGACGCCCGCCCGCCCTGTGTACCGGAGCTCGGGGAAGCCAGTCAATGCGACGGGCTGACCCGGCCCTTCACTGAGGACGAGGTGTGGCAGCGCCTGCGCTCCGCCGCCAACACGGCGCCCGGCCCTGACGGGCTGCGCTATGTGGCGTGGCGTGCCCTCGACCCCGGCGCCCGCCTGCTGACTCTGGCATACAACGTGTGCAAGAGCCACCGACGGCTGCCGGGCGAGTGGGGCAAGAGCAGCACGGTGCTCATCCACAAGGGGGGCGACGCCGACGACCCGTCGTGCTGGCGACCCATCGCCCTGATCAGCACGATCGCCAAAGTGTACGCCGGTCTGTGGGCCGACCGGCTCTCCCGTTGGGCGGAAGGGGAAGACCTCCTGTCCCCAGGGCAGAAAGGCTTCCGGCACTATGACGGAGTATTGGAGCACAACTTCATACTCCAGAGTGCACTGACTGCCTCTCGGCGAGCGGCCGGCGGTGAGCTGCACGTTTGCTTTGTCGACCTGACAAACGCATTCGGCAGCCTGTCGCATAGTTACCTGTGGGACGTGCTGGCGCGCCTGGGCCTCGAGCCTGAGGTGCTGCTCGCCCTGCAGAGTATTTATGACGGCACCACTACCGTCTACGCCACGGCACAGGGCGTGTCCGAGCCGGCACCAGTCGTGCGAGGCGTGCGTCAGGGCTGTCCGCTGAGCGGCGTCCTGTTCGCCCTTGCCATGGAGCCGCTTGTACGCGCCCTGAACGGGATTGACGGCGTCGAGGCGCTCGCCTTTGCCGACGACGTGGCGCTGCTCTGCCGAGACCACCCGGCCCTGGAGAGCGCGCTGACTGCGCTGGAGGATGTGTGCGCCTGGTGCGGCCTCCATCCTAACCCGCGCAAGTCCGGCCTGCTGTCGATCGGCCCGGCCCCGCCCCCCGCTCAGCTGTGCGGCCAGCCGCTGCCAGTGGTGGGGGAGGGGGGCTCGTACCGGTACCTGGGCCGTCCCGTCGGCCACTCCCGCCTCTCCTGTCCGCCGACCGAGGTGCTGGACGACGCGCGGCGTGCCGCTGAGCGGGTGACGGACAGCGCTCTCGCCCCGTGGCAGAAGCTGGACGCCCTCCGCTCCTGCGTCATGCCGCGGCTGACGCACTGCCTCCGGCTCGGCCTCCTTCCAAAGACGGCGCTGCGCAGTCTGGACGCTGCAATTCGGTGGCGGGTGAAGGGCATCCTGAACCTGCCCTCCCGTGCCAGCGCCGAGTACTTGTACTCTGGCGTGGCGCAGGGCTGTGTCGGCCTTACGGAGCTGGCCGTGGAGGCGGACATGCTGCTGGTGGCTTCCACCTGGCAGCTGCTCACCTCTCCGGACGAGGCTGTGAGGACGACTGCCGAGGACCAGCTGACAGAGTGCGTGCGCCGCCGCCTCTCCGCCCCTCCCACGGCAGCGCAGGTCGCCGGCTACCTGAACGGCGAGGCCATGCGCGACGGCGGTGACGTCGCGACCCGGTTCAGCCGGGCGCGTGTCGCCACCAAAGCGCTGGCCAAGCTGGTCGGGATACGCTGGCAGGCGGCCGACGGCCAGCTGTCTCTGACGCTGGACGGCGAGCCGCTGCCGCGCGGCAAGGCGGCCGCGCTGCTCCGGGACGCCGTCCGCCGCGCCGCCGCGGCCCGCCTGCACACCAAGCCCCATCAGGGCAAGGTGATGCGCTGTGTGGCCGACCAGCGCATCAGCAGCCACTATATGTACAGTGGCGACTACACCCGATTCGCCGAGTGGCGCTTTGTCCACCGAGCGCGCCTGGGGCTGGTGCCTCTGAACGGGGCCCGCCACGGCGCTGCGCCGGGGGACCAGCGCTGCCGGCGCTGTGGACACGCCAGCGAGACCCTGCCCCACGTGCTGTGTCACTGCATGCAGCGGCACAGCGTGGCCTACCAGCGGCGCCACGACGCTCTCCTGGCTCGCCTGGCGAACGCGGTCCGGCGGGACGGAGTCGACGTCCGAGTAAACCGACAGGTGCCGGGCGTGCAGTCCACGCTGCGCCCCGACCTGGTGGTCACTCGTGACGGCGGCGCCACCGTCGTGCTCGCCGACGTCACGGTGGCCTTCGAGAACGGCCCCGAGGCCCTGCAAGCCGCCAGCGACGCCAAGGTGCGCAAGTACGCGCCCCTTGTCGCGGAGCTGCGAGCAGCGGGTAAGGAGGCCAGCGTCGTTGCTCTAGTGGTTGGCCCGCTGGGCACGTGGTGGCGGGGCAACGAGGCGGTGCTGCGCCGGCTCCGCGTCAGCCGTGCCTACGCCCGTCTCATGCGCCGCCTGATGGTGTCCGACACGCTGCGGTGGTCCCGTGATGTGTACATCGAGCATATCACGGGCCACCGCCAGTATCAGTAGGCGCCGCCCACTTCTGGCGGCCGGCGGCGCCCCGCCCCTACTCACCGACCGGCCGGGCAGCCGACACCGCCCCTCCCCCTCCCCGACTCCCTCCCTCCCCTCCCCTCCCCGTCACCTGGGCGGGCGCGGCACGGCCCTGCGTGGCCGTTGGGTCGCTGGGCCCTGCGAGGCCCGCATTAGTGTTTATGTGTGTATGTGTGTATGTGACGCCATTCAAGACCTGTGCTGTGTTTTCTAAAGTACCTTCGCCTGTATATAAATGTTCCAAGTGCCAAAGTGTAACAATGTCTTTCGGCCTATGGGTATTTTGTTTTGTATTATAGTTTGTTTTGTTTTGTTCTCTTTATTTTTTTTTCTAGTGTGTATATACCCAATGTGCCATATCTCGTTACGTTCCGAAGGCTGGAGTCTCCAATCACAGCTGGAGACTCGCCTTATGTCGTGCTTGAGCGTGCCCCACTACGGGCAACACTGTAATCATCTCCTTTCTGATGAAGTGTTTTGAAACATGTGTTTTTTTGAATAAAATCTGTTCTTATCAGCTTAATATCTGATACGTCCCCTACATGGGGACCAGAATATTAAACTGATTTTTGGACTTTGGCGGGGTTTTTGGAGCTTGCTCCAGCCCTGCCGCGGGTTGGCCTGGCATTGCACTACAGCCAGGATCGGCCCACTTTTGTTATCATGCGTTGTGATATGTAGTGGAATAAAAGGATAAAGATACTTTTAAGATATCTGACAATAAAAATTGACAAAACATGAAAATACACCTCTTTTTGATCACGATCATAGACAAACGCTCATACTAAATGGAAGAAAAATACGGGTATCGGCAAATTGTACCTGTGACCCCTCAATGTCCCTGAGGTCATCTCAGGTCATGAAGAAAAATGACCCAATCAATATCATTATGATTATAGACGTTTTTTTTTTTCTCGAATTCCGCTACTACGTGCCGCCCCCGACCCGAGCCACGATAACCGCTACAATAGGCGAATTAATTCACGCATTTATTTTGTTCCCAGACAATCGACATCTTTCAAGTACACGGTGCATCGGCGTCCTAAAATGTGACTGGCAAGGCCGCTCTATCTGGTGAAACTCAGTAAAGACGGTGCATCATCATCTAACTGAGGTACCTGTAAAGCTGACATCTTTATCACTATTCATTCGGTATCTAAGATGGACAGTGGGGAAGCGTGTGGGAAGTTGTGGGTGACGACAGCTTTGCCTTACGTAAAGCATCATATGTTTTTAAAACTTTTCTCTTTGTATTAGTTTTGCTATAGCGTGAGGCGTGCAATCGTATATCGAAATGAAAAAAGTAACTGGAAAAATAGCAGTATCTATCGACATTCCTTACATCTGTGCTTTGGTAAGGTCCTGACAAATGCTTTATTTATTCATGTTAGCCGTTTTCACGACGGCCATCTGGTACACATTTGATGCACAGGTGGTACAGATAAAGTGCAGAATTAGTCAATTCAGGTTCAGTGTGTCCTCTTTGCAGCTATCAGCTAGCACTACTAGCTTATATGCACTAATTTCTTATATGCCTGCTTTGTCATATTTTCAGAGAGCATCATCGATTAAAACACTAATAAATTCATAAAATGAAGCTATTTGCTGTAAACGAAAGTACGTGCAGATTTGATCACATCAGGTGCATTCGCCGGATAGACCGTCGTGAAAATGGCCATTAACTACTATTAAGATACATTTTTGTCGATACGTGCCTTATTCGTTACGTACATGATTAATCAGTACTTTTGCTGACGTACATGTGCAATACGTACTTTTGCGATGCATGCTTTTGTCTGCATGCAGCTAGGGGGGGGGTAGAGCTGGGGGGGGGGGTAGAGCGCTGCCATACGTCGTGGTGTTCGACTGTGCTGCCATCTGATGTCGCACGACTGATAACTGTCGGCGCGGCGCCGCCGTCTCCATTTGCGTGTGTACAAACGCACGGTCGAGAGCCACTAATTCGAAATTATTTCGAGTTTGGCGATCTTTTGTGCTTACAGATACTTACCATGGTGAGGATAAACTGAAACTGCGTATACTTTGAATGTAACATAATGGACCACTCTTATCACTCGCCGTGGCCACTAGCGCTCACGTTATAGCTCTGCATCGTTACTAGTACTAATAGTTATCCCTTAACTGCATAAGTATCTTAAAGTGTTGTGCTTAAGTATCGCTTCTCGGCCTTTTGGCTAAGATCAAAGTGTAGTATCTGTGGGGCATTCCCCCGGTATTTGCACATGATCGCGGCTCATTGGTCGGGATAGACATGCTTTTGGTTGGCTACCTTTCTCTTACAAAGCACGCCGCTAAAACATGCTCTATACGCTAAAAAATCTGTTCTTATCAGCTTAATATCTGATACGTCCCCTACATGGGGACCAGAATATTAAACTGATTTTTGGACTTTGGCGGGGTTTTTGGAGCTTGCTCCAGCCCTGCCGCGGGTTGGCCTGGCATTGCACTACAGCCAGGATCGGCCCACTTTTGTTATCATGCGTTGTGATATGTAGTGGAATAAAAGGATAAAGATACTTTTAAGATATCTGACAATAAAAATTGACAAAACATGAAAATACACCTCTTTTTGATCACGATCATAGACAAACGCTCATACTAAATGGAAGAAAAATACGGGTATCGGCAAATTGTACCTGTGACCCCTCAATGTCCCTGAGGTCATCTCAGGTCATGAAGAAAAATGACCCAATCAATATCATTATGATTATAGACGTTTTTTTTTTTCTCGAATTCCGCTACTACGTGCCGCCCCCGACCCGAGCCACGATAACCGCTACAATAGGCGAATTAATTCACGCATTTATTTTGTTCCCAGACAATCGACATCTTTCAAGTACACGGTGCATCGGCGTCCTAAAATGTGACTGGCAAGGCCGCTCTATCTGGTGAAACTCAGTAAAGACGGTGCATCATCATCTAACTGAGGTACCTGTAAAGCTGACATCTTTATCACTATTCATTCGGTATCTAAGATGGACAGTGGGGAAGCGTGTGGGAAGTTGTGGGTGACGACAGCTTTGCCTTACGTAAAGCATCATATGTTTTTAAAACTTTTCTCTTTGTATTAGTTTTGCTATAGCGTGAGGCGTGCAATCGTATATCGAAATGAAAAAAGTAACTGGAAAAATAGCAGTATCTATCGACATTCCTTACATCTGTGCTTTGGTAAGGTCCTGACAAATGCTTTATTTATTCATGTTAGCCGTTTTCACGACGGCCATCTGGTACACATTTGATGCACAGGTGGTACAGATAAAGTGCAGAATTAGTCAATTCAGGTTCAGTGTGTCCTCTTTGCAGCTATCAGCTAGCACTACTAGCTTATATGCACTAATTTCTTATATGCCTGCTTTGTCATATTTTCAGAGAGCATCATCGATTAAAACACTAATAAATTCATAAAATGAAGCTATTTGCTGTAAACGAAAGTACGTGCAGATTTGATCACATCAGGTGCATTCGCCGGATAGACCGTCGTGAAAATGGCCATTAACTACTATTAAGATACATTTTTGTCGATACGTGCCTTATTCGTTACGTACATGATTAATCAGTACTTTTGCTGACGTACATGTGCAATACGTACTTTTGCGATGCATGCTTTTGTCTGCATGCAGCTAGGGGGGGGGGGTAGAGCTGGGGGGGGGGGGGGTAGAGCGCTGCCATACGTCGTGGTGTTCGACTGTGCTGCCATCTGATGTCGCACGACTGATAACTGTCGGCGCGGCGCCGCCGTCTCCATTTGCGTGTGTACAAACGCACGGTCGAGAGCCACTAATTCGAAATTATTTCGAGTTTGGCGATCTTTTGTGCTTACAGATACTTACCATGGTGAGGATAAACTGAAACTGCGTATACTTTGAATGTAACATAATGGACCACTCTTATCACTCGCCGTGGCCACTAGCGCTCACGTTATAGCTCTGCATCGTTACTAGTACTAATAGTTATCCCTTAACTGCATAAGTATCTTAAAGTGTTGTGCTTAAGTATCGCTTCTCGGCCTTTTGGCTAAGATCAAAGTGTAGTATCTGTGGGGCATTCCCCCGGTATTTGCACATGATCGCGGCTCATTGGTCGGGATAGACATGCTTTTGGTTGGCTACCTTTCTTTTACAAAGCACGCCGCTAAAACATGCTCTATACGCTAAAAAATCTGTTCTTATCAGCTTAATATCTGATACGTCCCCTACATGGGGACCAGAATATTAAACTGATTTTTGGACTTTGGCGGGGTTTTTGGAGCTTGCTCCAGCCCTGCCGCGGGTTGGCCTGGCATTGCACTACAGCCAGGATCGGCCCACTTTTGTTATCATGCGTTGTGATATGTAGTGGAATAAAAGGATAAAGATACTTTTAAGATATCTGACAATAAAAATTGACAAAACATGAAAATACACCTCTTTTTGATCACGATCATAGACAAACGCTCATACTAAATGGAAGAAAAATACGGGTATCGGCAAATTGTACCTGTGACCCCTCAATGTCCCTGAGGTCATCTCAGGTCATGAAGAAAAATGACCCAATCAATATCATTATGATTATAGACGTTTTTTTTTTCTCGAATTCCGCTACTACGTGCCGCCCCCGACCCGAGCCACGATAACCGCTACAATAGGCGAATTAATTCACGCATTTATTTTGTTCCCAGACAATCGACATCTTTCAAGTACACGGTGCATCGGCGTCCTAAAATGTGACTGGCAAGGCCGCTCTATCTGGTGAAACTCAGTAAAGACGGTGCATCATCATCTAACTGAGGTACCTGTAAAGCTGACATCTTTATCACTATTCATTCGGTATCTAAGATGGACAGTGGGGAAGCGTGTGGGAAGTTGTGGGTGACGACAGCTTTGCCTTACGTAAAGCATCATATGTTTTTAAAACTTTTCTCTTTGTATTAGTTTTGCTATAGCGTGAGGCGTGCAATCGTATATCGAAATGAAAAA